GCCAGTGGTACATGCGACCAGGTCCACGCCTCGGCGCCATAAAATGTAAACAAAGCCCGGTCACCAACAGCAGCGTCAGCTTCAGCAGGTGAGTACATGTGTGGTTTATTAACAAGCCATTAAATAAGCGACGTATAAAATTACGGCCGGTTTCCGTGGGCTTGGCCAATGCGTACCGACGACTATTGGCTGTCGCGACAACCTATGCTCGATACTTCATCTGTTGACACTAGCTGACTCCTGATTGACGCCCGCTGTCGGCATGTCGATTGTCGCATTATCTCTTTGATCCATCGTCGTCGATCGTTATAAGCCGTTCTTAAACGGATTTCGCCCACCCGCTCGACCGCCCGATCCTCTTCGACACTCCCTCGTGCTAATCTATCCGACCTGCTGGGACAGCGGGTCACCGACGCTAAGCTCCGAGGGTACGCAACAGCTGGGACCGGTCACAGCGTTTTGTTTTTCTTTGTTTTTATTACTGCATGAATACCATTCGTGCCTTTCATGATCAACGGATGTCCTTTCCATTGGTGCAGATCCCAGCTACTTAATTGCTCTCTCTTAAATGCTACTCGCATTTATTTTGAGTCATAGGTCCTCCACGGCCTTCCTTCCGCTGTCTTGATGTTTCCAGATACCAATACGGTAGGCACATTGGTTCCATCGGTTGACCTTAATTTTCACCACCTGGTCATCAACTGGTGTACAGTCTTCTTCATTTTCATATGCGCCTTCAATGACGTCTATGCCCACGTCAATTAGTTGACATTTTTCATTCGCTTTTCCATGGCTTTTTGCGTGGCCTCCAGTTCTGTTTCTTAATGAGCATTTAATTGTCTGGTTCATATCCATCGAGCACTGTATGAAAGATTTAGCGTACACGAGGATGGAGGGCTCCTGTCGTTAAATATTTATTGCAGCTTGCTTGAAACTTGACCACGACGACGAGTTTTCTCGTTGAGTTCAGCTCCAAGATGATTATTTACTTGCAGCGCTGCCCTACATATGTGCCATCGTCTAGAAACTCACATTTATTTCTGACACAGGTTTTGCCAAATTCACGGCAGCAAGCATTCTTTCTCCATTCGTTTTCCCTTATGAATGAACAATCTGACCTCCGTTGCGCAGTTGGAAATTTTGTTTTTCTTCTGTCCTTGGGTTGGGGGAGGGATTACCACCAACTTTATTATTCAGTGTCCAGGTTTCTGAGCCAACGATGAATAGCCGTTGTAGTAGCATTTTGGACGTCAGTGATGTTGTGCAGCGGGATTTGGAAAAAGATGTGCTGCATGTCATAATTATGGAATCTGTCACACTTCGGGCTAGACTTCATCTTCGAACATTGAGGTCAATGTCCGAATCTGGTTTAACCTCCACGAGCCGTGTCCATGCCAGATGGTTCTATGGTCAGGTTGAAGATACGGTCTTTGTTACGGGCGGCTGTAGGCCCCATTCTCATCGCCACTGTTCCTCGAGACTCGGTCATGGCGTCGTCGTTCCTTCCCATGGTGGGTGGCATGATTTCAGGCATTGTATTGGCAGCTGTTAGTGGACGCGATGGACGGAAAGCTGTCGATTTATATCAAGGCTTCAGAAAACGCGAGGTACATGCTTGCCCCTACGGAGCGGAGGGGATCCGATGTGCACCAGAATCGGCAACCACTGCGTCTGGGTTAGCTTCAGGGACCCTGTTATGATTCGCATTGCTTCATTTAGCCACGTGTCTATTTTTCTCTTCTGGCAGTTGCAGCTCCAAACGGGCAGCAGAATTCTGCGACAGAATACTCGAGGGCTGTGGCACACAACTGTTGGGCTCCTGCACTGCAAGACGTGCCGGCAAATTATAATTTTCGTTGAACAGCAGCTGAAACGTGTAGACGGGTCTGTTATGATGACAGTGGCATCAAGGGTGTCTTTGCCTCCACTTATCGAATATGATTATAAAAATGCCGATTATTCAGCAAGCGAAGTACGACCAGCAT